AGAGAGGGGGCTCTGTCCCATCCCTCGGCCGGGCAGCTCCTGGGCGTTTGGTTGGCCCCCAAGCAAACCACTCAGGAGCCAGGTGCCCGAAATCTTTGCCAAGTTTCCCTTTTTGGAGCCCAGAGGAGCAAGCCTGTGCCAGCAGTTCCCATGGAGACGAAGCCCTGGGATGCCTCGCTCCTTCGCGGCCTGCACAATTGTGCTTGCATGCCCTTTTTCTTTTTTTTCTTTTTTTTTTTTTTTGAGCCAACCAATTAGCTCCAACTTTCAGATCTTCAGGGGAAGAAAATAGCCCGGAGCTGTCAACCCACCGAGGCAAGGAGGAGGTTTCCAGTGGGCAGGCGGCAGCCAGGTGTCTGGCCCTGTGCGACTTCAGGACAGGTTGGACTTCACACTGGGGAAGGGGCTCCGCAGAGCCTGGAGGACCCCCCAGCTGCCCCGCGCCCCACCCACACTGCACCCTGGGAAGTGGGGGAGGGAGGGAGGCCCCTTCATGGCTGTCAGCTCAGGGCCAGCATCCTGGGAGCTCATCTGCTTTTTTTTTTTTGAGACAGGGTCTCACTCTGTCACCCAGGCTGGAGTGCAGTGGTGTGATCATGGCTCACCGCAGCCTTGACCTGCCAGGCTCAAGCACTCCTCCTATTTCAGTCTCCCAAGCAGCTGGGACTACAAGGCACATGCCACCATGCACGGCTGATTTTTATACTTTTTTGTAGAGATGGCGCCTCACTATGGCGCCCAGGCTGGTCTCAAAGTCTTGGGCTCAAATGATCCACCTGCCTCTGTCTCTCAAAGTACTGGAGCTCCAGGCGTGAGCCATCGTGCCCAACCCCATCCTCCCTTCAGCGCCTGGGACAGTCCTGCCCTTCTGACTCTGAGCAAGCCTCCGCAAGCAGGGACTCATCGAGCATCTTGAGTCCTCATAGTGGCCTTGGGAGAAAAGTGTCATTATCTCACTCTACAGATGATAACAGTGAGACCCAGAAAAGCTAAATTACTTGCCCAAGTCACAGGCTAGGGAGTGGTAAAGCCAGGGCCCAAAGCCTGTCGCCTTCTTCCCGGAGTGAGCACCGAGGGTGCTGAGATCCCACTGGCGGCTCTGTGCCCACAGCTTACACAGCAGCTTGGAAAACTGGTGACCGCACTGCCATGATGGGCTGGTCTTCCCGATGGCCTAGCCGGAGGAGTCAGGAGCAGAAGAGCCCACTCATCACAGCAGCACCCCCGAGAGTCGCTCACCCCTGCTTGGCACCCTCACCGACATCCCACACTCAGATGCGCTGTCCTTGGCGTTCACAGGTACGACACCGCAGGCCTGGGACGACTGCCCTGCCCTGCTGGGCCCACCAGTTGCTCGGGCCTTGTGAACCTTCCACTGCAGCTAATACCCAGGTGGGCACCCCTCGTAAAATGCAGAGGTGGAGCGTGTGTGCCCCCTGCCACCACACCCCGCTTCCTCAGTGGCCTGTCCAGGGCCCCAGGCACTCCCAGCTGGGCCCCACCCCTGGGCCTGTGGGGAACACAGGAATGAGAAGGGGAAGAGAAAGGGGTCTGGGACTCCCACGTAGGCTCAGAGGCGGCCCCGGTGTGGGCACACGGGCATCTGCAGGCTTCCCAGAGACGGCCTTGGCAATTCCCAGGGTTCTCTGTGGTGTGTCAGACCCACAGGAGGTTAAGGAGGCGTGAGAGGACCTCGTCTTGTCCGCTGGGAACGCTTCAGCCCTGTTTCCCGCTGTGGCTTCCTCACACAGGGGCTGTGGGGAAAAACTGAGGCTGGGGGGAGTTTGGAGGTGAGAAAGGAAGGGATGATTTCAAGCCCGGATGAAGGTCGCGTTTCTTCTCATCACAGTGTTTCAGGAGGCCGTCGTGGGCTGTTTCAGCTGACCAGGGCCCTCACTCTTGTCCTCCCCAGGTGAGCGGCTCACGGCTCACGGCTCACGGCTCACGGCTCACAGCGCCCACAGACCTTGAGGGCTTCTGCACCTTCCTCTATTGTTGCTCGTGATCCCGCATTCCAGGCCCAAATTCAAGCCCCTCCTCCCCAGGCCCCCAAACCCAGCTGTGGAGCCCCCAGCCCAGAGCTCTTTTCCTTAGGCCCTATTTTCTGTTGGGCCCTGGCTGAGGGGTACAAGGGGAGAGAGAGAGAGAGAAGCCTGGCCGGCTGGGTACGTTTTGGTAAGAAAATACAAATGGTCCTCATCACTTCACATCTCACAACACAGGCTCAGCCCCCATCCAGGCCCATGTCGTCGTCAACTCTCCTGCTCCCCACCCAGCTCGGACCTGGGGGTGGCGGCCTGGGGCGGGCGGTGGGCACAGCAGCCTCCAGCTGAGCTGTGCTCTGGGTTTGCAGAGGTTGAGAGCTGTCGCTCTTTCTCTGAGGGCTCCTCCAAGGGTCCTCGGAGCCTGGCCTCACGGTCCCCTGACTAGTGTTTCACACGGGCCTCAGGGAACCCACAAGTCCCCAGTACCTAATGGCAGCTCTGCCTCCTCTTGGGCTGAGGTCGGTTCACTCTCTGGGCGGCCTCCTTCGACTGGACCTAGGAGACTCCATGCCGACTGTCACGGGAGGCCCGCACCTGGGCCGCCAGCCCTCTCCTTAGCTTCGCCTTCAAGGCAGCCAGCCTGACTGCCCTCGAGACTTTGCAGTGGGTGTGGCATCAGTCCAAGGGATTTCTCAGACTTCAGGGGACACCGTGAAGCTCTCTGGCGGCTTTCTTTAAAGCCCCTTTCCTTGCAGCTTGAAGTGAAGAAAGGGCGGCTGACCACACGCCTCGGACTCAGCTCACCTCCCTGAAACCTCCCTCCTCTAACCTCAGCGCCTGACTCCTTGCCTCCCACTCCAGCCCTCAGTGTGCGTAGGGGCTCAGCCATCTCTTCCCTAAATTCTGCTTCACTCATGGGCAGAAGTCAAGGGCTCAGATGGGGCCCCATCGTCTACTCACCCCCTCCCTCCCTCCTCACCCAAGCTGCAGTTCTCGGTCAGCATTTGTAAGACGGATGAGTGCGGACCACCCAAGGATGGGCACACCCAGCATGTGCGAGGAAGGGCTGGGGCCACGGAGAAGAAACTTTATTCTGGCAGCAGGTGCTGTGTGCACCAGGTTGGCCACCAGCCTCCTGGTTCAGTTCCTGGCACTCAGGCTAGAAGCGATGGACGGCTCTGGCTCGGGGAGAGTAGGGAAGGGGGACGCTGTCCACATTCGCCCAGAGCGGGGCCTCGGGCTGATTCCAGAAGACTCAGATGTGGCCTGAGTGGCACTGTTCTCCGCTGATTCATTGGGAGGAGTGCTGCTCTTTCTACTCCGCCCACATCCAGTCTCTGCCTGAGCTTTCTCAACTGTCAGGCAGGTAAATAACAACACCTGCCTCCCGGTTAATTCATGGAAAGCGCTTCCTGACCTATGCTCAGAAGTCAGTAAATAAATATTAACTCACAGTGTTTGTCCCTTCAGGTAGGCTCTTGCCCCGGCCACGTGGCTCTCCCTTTGTACACCTCGAGCCAGCTGGAGCCGCCCTGAGCAGCCACCTGGGACCTCAGACACCCTGGCCCATCTGGCATTTCTTTGGCAGAATCTATCATGAGGCCTTCTGCTGGGGGGCCAGGTTGGAGGGTCTGGAAGAACGCGTAGCACCCCCAGTCTGTCATCCCTGCCACAGGGACAGCAAGGACACTCGGTTCAAGTAGCCTTGGAGAGAGGGCCTCGCTCCCGCATGCCCACAGGGAATGGGGACTGGCATTGCCTCCAGGAAGAAACCTCCAGGGCCATCAGGACCCGGGGACCGGCTTCCAAAGCCTGGCTGGGCTTCAACTTCGGAGACCCTGAACCAGCCATGGAACTTCCTGGAGCTTCCTCTGCTCAACCAGATGAGAATTTGCTCCCTCAGAGACTGTCGAGGGACGGAAGAAATAGACTGTGACCTCAGAGGGGCTTTGTTTCGCATATAAAGTAACACTAGCATTTCAGGATTCCAGAATTTTAAAAGCCAGAGAAATAGGTAATTTATCTTTCTCTGTGGCTATTTCTGTCTCTCTGCCAACTGCCGGGTGCCACCCCATCCCCGGGTGACCGGTATTACCGTGGCGCTGTCGAAACAAAACTCCTTTGCAAAAGACAGTGTTCCATTAGCTGGGCCCCAGTTTCTGGACACTAAATTCAAAGAGTGGCAGCCTTTTCCCAGTTTACAAGGGGAACATCAAAGTCAATTTTTTAGGACTACTTCTAATAACTGTGGGCTGGGTAATTTGGACGAAATTTCCAGTTCAGGACAACTTAAAAAGCTGCTCAAAATCTGTGTGTGTGGGGGAGTGGGGTGGCGGGCATTTTGAACAGCTTTTAAAGTTATATTTATTTATTTATTTAATAAATATATGTACATATATATATTTAAGTCTAATTGAGAGTATTGGGAAGGAAACAAAGCAGTGAAGAATTACAAGGCCAAGATCTAGGAAAAGGAGGCAACTCAGAGACACATGCACGGCATCTGGGACTACGTTTTCTGTAGGGGGTCTGCGGATTCTAGAAGATACTGTGAAGCCCTCACAGGAAGGCTACCTGGTAAATGTCTTACGCTTCGGGTTGAAGCCCCAGCGGGCTTCACCCGATGAATACGGATGAATCAGAAGTAGACTAGCCCTTAAAGTAACTCAAATCATCTCATTCCCTACAAGTAGATGAAAGAGATCTGGCTCACTGCATCCCCGGCCACCTGCCAGATGTAAACATAATCCTCACAGAGGAAGATAACTCTATCCCAGACCTGAAATTACTTGTACTCAATAAAAAAAATTGCCAAGTATGGGAGGAGACAGGACAAAACTAACAAAAAACAAGAGAAACAACAGGCACCAGAAACAGACTAATGGAGGCTCCATATAAGGGGCTGACTGAACTTTAAAATAACTATGCTTAATATGTTCAAATAGATAAAAGATAAAATAGGTAATTTTGAAAGAAAACCGAAAATATTTAAAAAATGGCTTCTATTCCATTTGTAATCCCATCAATTTTATTTTTTAAATGCAAGGGTACTACTTCCCCCAGGTAGGTCAACAGATGAGTAACAAGCAAAAAAAAAAAAAAAAACCCTCTAGGAAAGGCAAAAAAGAGGCAGTCACGCTACATTCAAGGACGCTCTTCTGACAGTGATAACAATACATTGTGTATGCACCATTCTAATTTCTAGTAGAAAACTTGTGGCTGGTTTATAAGATGCAGTTAATCATAGACACTTCCAGCCTGGGCAACATGGCAAAACCCTGTCTCTACAAAAAATACAAAAATTAGCCAGGCACAGTGGCACGCACCTGTAATCCCAGCTATTTGGGAGGCTGAGGCATGAGGATCGCTTAAGCCCAGGAGGTGGAGGTTGCAGTGAGCCAAGATTGCACCCCTACACTCCAGCCTGGGTGACAGAGCGAGACCCTGTCTCAAAACAAACAAACAAACAAACAAACAAACAAGAACAAACAACACGGACACTCCCTGAAACCCAGCCCACCACAATCTGAAAGGACTTTCTGCCTTTGAACAGAGGCCTGTCTCCCTCTTCCCTTGTACACGCCCAGACACCAGCTCTACCCCCGGCCCAGAGCAGTCATGGCAAACAACGACAATAATAACAGGCAGCTTCCTATGACCGTTTGTTTTGTGCCAGGCCACTGCTAAGGGCTTTCTGTGAATGATCACATTTGATTTGCACAACTCTTTGCGGAGGCTGTGACTCTTCTCCCCATCTTATAAATGGAGAAGCTGAGCGAGCACGTATCACAGCCAGGCTGGGAGTCTAGGTCTGCCTGCTCCTGACAGCAGGCTTCCAGGCTGGGACGCACGCCCTACCTGCATATTGCTGGAATAACCCCTGGATGCCTGCAGCCAGAGGTGACCTTAGAACTCTCCTCTCCATACACACTCATTAAACACCAACTGTGTACAGGGCCCCAGCCGAGGAAACCTGGTTTTAAGGACCCAGAACCAAGTCTCAGGGAGGTGAGAACGCTTTAATGGATCTGAGGTCTGTCCATCTCTTCTCTCTCTCCTCTTCCTCATTTGTGGAACACAGCATCCAGCACTCAGGGCTGACACAGGGATGGGCTGGGGATGACCCTCGGCCACACGCGCAGGATAGAAGGGGCAGTGCAAAACCCTGTTCTGGCCACCAGGCCACTCCTAAGAAAGCTGGGTGGGGGCTGCGGAAGATGCTTCCTTCTGAAGAGATAAGGGCGAGTCCCCACTGTGGCCCAGGCCCCAGGTCCCTTCCTCGGGAGCCAGCACTCAGAGAGGAGCTAAGTGCTCGTACCCCCGTTTCTAACCTGGGTGCAGGCAGGGAGGCTCGGCCTTCAGACAGGCCTCCGTCACCCCGCTGGGCACCAATAAATCCAGGATGAGATCTGCAGAGGACCCAGGGCTCTGGGGCAGTGGAGGGCTCAGGGGCCATGAGGCAGGGCCTGCAGTAGCCCAGACCTAGGCCACGGTGCCCCTTTCTGATTAGTGGTGTTACCTGAGTGGTTTGGTTGGGCAGGGCGGTCCCCTGGGCCAGCAAGCTAGCAGTGGGGATATGGTGACGAGGGGACAAAGGGAGGAAGCAAAGGGCCAGGAAGGGCATAAGCGGGAAGTGGGAGCCAGCGGGGAGGCCAGATGAGGATGGGGTGGGGGGCGAGGAGCTCAGAGAGGGGCAGAGGGAGGCTTGGCACGGGGAGGACACACGGGAATGGGAGTGGGGTTGGACGAGGCCTCTGTCCCACCCCAGGGTCCAGGCTCCAGCAGGTGGAGAACAGGCTCTTCCCGTGAGGATGCCACCAGCAGGGGGGTAAGGGGTGGCACCTGGAGGGACCTGCTGGCTCTGCAGCTGCACGGAAGTCCCACGTGATTCTGAGAGCGAATGATGGGGGTCGTGAGCAGAAAGAGGTGGAAAGGAGCAGGCAAGGTCGGGCCAGGTAAGCCGGAATTAGGGACAGTCCAAGCCCCGATGCCAGCCTGGGCTCTGGGGCAAGAGCTACCGAAGTCCTGTGGCCCAGGCTGAACCAAAGGGGAGGACAGGCAGCCTTGGGGTCAGCTCACCCTGTCACGGATTAAGAAGGAAATGGGTGAAGAGGAGGGAGGGGAGAACAGGGCTGTCAGCCCCGCTGCTGGACGGGCCACACCCAACACCCAGACCCCACCATGTCCCCAAGCCTTCCTGCCCTCCGAGGCCCCGGAAACCCCAGGCCCCAGCCCCTCCCCGCCCCATTCCCTCAATCCCTGGCAGGGAGCAATTAAGCACGCTGGGGAAAACTCACCCACAGGCCCTACAGCTTCAGGGAAGTAACCCGGGGGATGTGGAAGAGCTGAGTCTCCTCAGAGCTGGTGGAGCTGCAGCATCGAAGACAGAGAGAGCGTGGCCTCACCCCAGACCCTCAGCCCAGACACAGGGACAAACCCAGAGCCCTGAGGGTTTCTCCTCGGAAGCCCTCGGGGGGATGGGAGGGGTCCCTCGAACCTGCGCCCGAACGGGCAGACGTACGGGAGAACTTCCCGGCTCTCCAGGGCTCGGCCATGAGCCTCCTCTGCCTGGGAGGCCTCAGGAGGGGCTGTGACAGGGGACCTGGCCGTGGAAAGGACACCTCCCTGGCCCCTGACGCTGCCCGCAGCCCTGGCAGCCCCTCACCTGAGGCGTTTCCGGATAGGACGGAAGTATTTGGAGGTCTTGACAGCAAAGATGATGCTGGGGATCAGGAAGAAGGTGCACCACGCCAGGCAGAACCAGAAGGCATTCTGCAACAGGGCACGAGGTCGGCTCACCAACCCACGTGGTACCCAGCCCCACCCAGCTGCCTGGTCATCGGAGCCGGGGCAGGGGCCATGCCTGGCTTCACTCCCTGCTCACCCGGCCCTCCCTGAGAGCAGGAAGGCTTGGGGACTTGGTGGACGAGCCCTGATGAGCTGCGGCACTCACCCAGGGGTCAGCCACCATATCACACAGGATCACACGGCTGTTGTCCACAGCCCCGGAGAGGGGCTGGCAAGTGGCGATGCGCTGAGTCACCTGTGGTGCCAACACGAGGCAGGTGACACAGAGACACCCGGACCCACAGGCGCACACCCACATTCAATTCAGGGAGAGTGGTTGACAGGGACGCAGATAGGCCTGGGGACACCACTGGGGCCACCGCACACTCGTACACACATGCAGAGAGGCAGGTACAGACAGATGGGGACATACCCCACAGGCTCCTCGCTGGCCCTCCCCTTTCCATCTGTTCACCAGCCTGGCCTACTACGACCCAGCACCGTGCTTCAAGCCACTCTCACTGGGGAGGCAACGTGTGTGTGTGCATGCGTGCACACACACACACACAGGCACACAGACACACTCAGGGTACACCCAGACCCCTGCCACCTAGTGTGGGGTCCAGACAGCTTGCAGAGGCTGTGTTCAGCAAGGGTCTGCAGCGGGAGGTGGGCTTTGAGGATTGGCCTTGGACAAGCTGGGGAAGGGGCCGGCCCAGGGAAGAACCTGCAGGCCAGGTGTGAGGAAACATTTTGGAGAACGCCAAACCTGCTCACACTCGGCTAAGGGAAGGGCTGCAACAGAGGTGGGGTGGGCAGAGCTTGGCCAGCAAGCAGGGGTGTAGATGCCAGGTTTGGGAGTTTGGGTTTGATCCTGAAGGCCTGGGTCACCCCCAAGGGGCTCTGGGGGCGGGGGCAGGGCTGAGCAGAGGGAACAGCTGGTCTGCTGGGGCAGGGAATCGGTCATTGCTCTGAGGCCCCACTTACCTCCTCTCTTACCCAGGCCACGTATTGGGAGAAGTAGCCCATCTCCCGGGCCAGGAAACACTCACTCACCTGCAGGAAGGAGAGGAGGTCTGGGCCGCAGGGGTCCTGGAGGCCCCCCGCCCGTGCCACCTCCCATGTGTGGCAACTTGAGGACGGTCCCAGCTTTCCTGGGAGCCACAGTGAGAAGCTGGGAGTGGAGAAGTCTCAGGGGAAGCCCCTTCCCCGTCCCACCCACCACTCACATTCCTCAGGATCCTGGTGGCCCAGGCAGGCAGCTCTCCTTTCAAGTAAGTGACATTGGCTAGGACATCTGAGGTCTCCAGCTGGAGGGGACGAGAGCCTCAACTCAGTGCCCCGCATTCACGCATCCATTCATTAATTCAACACACACCGAGGCACACTCAGCGGGAGAGGGTTTGGCCCCGACAGACAGGCCAAGGGTGGTGATCCCCCAGGCTCTGCCGTCACCCCCATCTTCCTCCCGACCCCACCCACAACCTGGGCAGAGCTCTGAGGTCCAGAGTGAGATGCGCTCCTACTTCCTGCCTCCCTCTGCAGCCCCCCTGCTCCACCATACGTCCCCACCACCAGCAGCCACCTGGAGATTCGGGGCAGAGGACTCCAGGGCCCTGACGCTGAGGTTGAGCTTCGCCTGTGGAGAAGAGATCAGGGCTGGTTAGGGGAGGGGAAGGGAAGGGGAGGGGAGGAGAGGGGAGGAGAGAGGAGAGGAAGGGAGGGGAGAGGAGAGGAAGGGAGAGGAGGGGAGGGGAGAGGAAGGGAGAGGATGGGAGGGGAGAGGATAGGAAGGGAGGGGAGAGGAGGGGAGAGGAGAGGAAGGGAGGGGAAGGGAGGGGAGGGAACAGATTCTCAGAGCTTCCCTCCCCTTTCACTGTCCCCTCTCCAGCTTTCCCCTCCCCCAGGCCCCAGGCTCCCTGGGCCTGCAAACTGACCACAAGGCTCTGCTGGGGAACGACCTTCTCCTGGTGAAGGTTTCTGAGTCCGTGGGCCTCCTCCTGCAGCCGCTGCCCCAGCACAGAATTGCCCTGAAGGGATATAAAAATCAGAACGGCCCCACCCAGGACACATGTACCCCTCACCCAGGCTTTCACTCCGACATACCAAGGGGAAGTGAGAGGCAGAAAACCGAAGCCTCCATAAGCTCCAGGGCCTGATCTGGGTTTGGGGGGGCCTAGATCCAAGTTCTAAGTTCACTCTAGCTTGCTGGGTGTCCCTGTCCGTCACAGAACATGCCTGAGCTACAGGGGCACCTGCGGAAATTGAGGATGCTCCTGGCTCTGCCCACCCTGTGGGGTTGTTGCGGGGCCTATGGGATGTTTCAAAGAGAACTTTTAAACCCTAAACAGCTACAAATATAAAATGCTATTTTTCCCCTCAAGGGCAACTGCCATGACATCTCATTCATCCCAAAGTCCTCACAGCCCCTGTCCCAGCAAATCCCGCAGTGGCACACATAGAAACACCTGCCCAACTGCCTGAGGCCAGAAAGTTACTTCATCTGCTCTGAGACGGTGGACAGTCCACCCAACAGATGAAGAAGCTCCGGCTCAGAGATGCTGCATGTCTTGCCCAAGGCCACACAGCCAGTGGGTGGCAAAGCTTGAGTAAGAACTGATGCTGCAAAACCCTCCAGCCCAGCCAGGGGTCAGGAGCTCAGGCCTCACTGGTGGTGGTCCTCAGTCCCCTGCCTTTGCCCTCACATCCTCCCACCCTCTCCTGCCTCCCAAGCCCCCCGTTTCTCCTGCTGCCCAGTGGGGGCCCCTGCTTCCCTCTCACTTGGGCCTGGGCCAGTCCTTCCAGCTCCTGGGCCAGCTGCTCCGTGCTAGTCTTCACCACAGGCCTCTGGATCTGCAGGTGGACAGGAGAGGCCAGGAGGGATGAACCCAGCTCCCCTGGGGCCCACAACCACCCGCTCCCAGCCTCCAAATCCTGTCTTATCAAATAGAACTGACACCAGCTAAGGGTTTTGTGACGCATGAGTCACAGTGGATTTTCCCTGGAACTGTGAAATATTTCAGACATTTTCCCAATGAGACGGAAACAACAAGAACAAATAAGGCACCTCTGGTGTAACTCGAGGAAGAGGCGACTTCCCACTGTGTCCGCCGCAGCAGTGGGTTCAGAACCATGAACAGCGACACACGCTGTTGGGTTAGGGGAGAGGGCGCCCATTCCCGTGTGACCTGGGTGGTGGCAGGAGGACGGGCCCAGGGACACATGATCTGGGGACACCTCCACAGGAAGAGGCCCCAGGAAACGTGGAAGAGCCCAGAGCCGGGATAAGACGACATGCACACCCTGCTCCTCTGTGGGCCCCTTCGTTCCGTCACCACCTGGCCGAGGAAGCCCCACTGAGGTGCCCACCGCTGACCTGAACGAGGAAGTCGGGGTAGTGGACGCGCTGGAGCCCACTGCTCTGCAGGGCCTCCAGGTCCCGGCGGGCGGCTGAGCTCAGCAGGTCCAGGCTCTGTGTGTCTACCTTCAGGCTCTGCAACTCCTGCCACAGCTTGTTGGTGTACTGGGAGAGTGGGGACAGGGTGGGGGTCATGCCCAGTTGCTGAGCTAGGACCCCAGAGATGCTCCCCTAAGCGAGGCGGTCACCAGGCGATATGGTCTGGATATTTGTCCCCTCCAAATTTCATGTTGCAATGTGACCCCCGGGTGTTGGGGGTGGAGGTGGGCCTGGTGGGAGGTACTAGATCACGGGGGCGGATCCCTCACGAAGGCCTTAGTGCCGCTGCCCGGGTGATGAGTGAGATTTTGCCCAGTTAGTTCACGTGAGACCTGGTTGTTTGAAAGAGCATGGCACCTCCACACTGGCTCTCTCGTTCGCTCTCTCCCTGTGTGATGTGCTGGCTCCCCTCGGCCTTCCGCCATGAGTGGAAGCTCCCTGAGGCCTCCCCAGAAACGGGTGCTGGTGCCACGCTTCCTGTACAGCCTGCACTGAAACCTCTTTTCTTTATAAATTATGCAGCCTCAGGTGTTGCTTTTTTAAATTTTTGGTTGGGGGAGGGGACAGGGTCTTGCTCTGTTGCCCAGGCTGGAGGGTAATAGCACAAACACAGCCCACTGAAGCCTGGACCTCCTGGGTCCCAGTGATCCTCCCACCTCAGCCTCTCCAGTAGCTGGGACTACAGGTGCAAAACACCACACCTGGCTTTAAAAAAAAATTGTATAGAGGGGGTCTCCTCATGTTGCCTAGGCTGGTCTTGAACTCCTAGGCTCAAGTAATCCTTCTACCTCAGCTTCCCAAAGTCCTGGGATCACAGGCGTGAGCCACCATGTCCAGCCTCAGGTATTCCTCTATAGCAACGCAAGAACAGAGTCACATGGCAGGCCCTCAGGGCCCCCTGCCCTGGACACCCCAAGCCCCAGACAGGCTCCCCATAGGCCCCTGTCCCAAATGCCAAGACCTGGCCTTCCTCCAGTGCCTATCTGGCTTCTGGGCCAAGACACAGACCTTCCCTGGCGACCCGAAATAAAATAGCTCTCCCATCCCCTCTTTATCCCGTCAGCTGTGTCGAGGCCTTCAAAGCGCTTGTTGCTGTGAAATGATGTTACTTGTAGGTTAATTGTTCATTGCTGTCAGCTCCACGAGAGCGGGGCTTTGCCTGCCTGTTCTGCCCCCAACCCCCAGCATCTAACTCAGAGGCTCATACATGGTGGGCAGGGTACAAGTTTGTTAGTTGTGTGAATGAGTGAATGAATGAATGAATGAATGCACGCAACTGCATTTTCAGGAAAGAGCCTCAGCATTTTCCTACTATCACTGGAAGAGATTTAGACGTCATAAAATGCAGCCCGAGTGTTTAACAGATGAGAAACTGAGGTTAGAGTGGAGCGTCCACTTGCCAAGGTTACACAGCTGGTTAGAGACTGCAGCCCAGCTTGGCTCTCCTCCCCGCATCCCTCCAGGCTGCCTTCTCCTGGAGGAGAAAAGGCCTGGCCCTCTCGGGTGGGGGCCTTCGGGCCGTGTCTCAGGCATCAGTGGCAGCAGCTTCACGAGAAGTGGGGAGGTGCGTGGTGCCCTCCCTGTGCTCTGGAAAGCCCTGTGTCCTCCTCATGTCTGCGTACCCATCCGTATCTCCTTTGAGGACGAGGATTCTTACAACCACTTTGGGTACGTTGTCAGGTGGCCTCAAAGGACTGCCCAGTGCATCCAAATCCAAAGCCCAGGACTCCTCCCCTCGAGAGCCATGGCTTCCCGCCAGCAGGGGATGGGGGCTCCTCTGCCCAGGGCCCTGGTTCATCCCTCCCTCCCTGGCCAGCCTTCCTCCACAGGGCAGTGTCTCAGCCTAGCACTGAGATCGCCTGCTCCAGCGGCCTCCTGTCTGGTTCAAGATGCGGAAGGAGGAGTGAGCTGCATGACTGTCCCAGGGTGTGTAGTTCCAGACACAGAGTTGGGACTGGGCCATGTGGCTGTGCCGTCCGTGGGCCGAGGCTGGTTGGTTGATCCAGGGGTTGGAAGGGTTTCCCGGGACGATGCAAAATCAGGAGGTAGCATGCTCTGTGTCTGGGGAGGGAGAGGGCACCGGGGCCGGGGATGGGGGGTTTCCCCAGCATGTGATTAGGAGCCTGGACGTCGAGGAGGGACTGTCTTCCGGCTTCTGTGCACCATGAGGAGAACCCCGTTCTCAACATCCATCCCTCTTGTGAAACAGCCCTTCCTTGCCTTCGTTCTGGAACGTTCTCTCGCCAGCACCAGCGAGCGTCTCCAGCTCTGCACAGCGAGTCCCAGCAAAGCCCAGAGGCTCCAGGAAGAGGCTGGTTTGTCAGCCTGGGGGTGGAATCCTGCCGCCGCCACCTCCCACCTGCGTGAGCTTGGCAGGCCCTCCCCCAGCGTTAGCCAGACCCACCGCCGTCCGTGCCACTGCCACGTCCTTCCCCAGCCTCCGCCTGCCTGTCCTCAGTCAGGACACGTGTGCCCCCCGTCCTCCTGCTCATTGTCACCAGCTTTTCCTGCTGCCACCTTGGCCGTGCTTGGGGCTGGACATAGCCTCCAGGTGCACACGGACCCACCCACACACCCGGAACCTTCCCCAGAGCTGGTGACTGGGCTCTGCCCTCGGGCACCTTAATCGCTCACACAGACTTCTCGGGTCTCCTGGGTTCAAAGAGACGGTGCCTCCACAGAGGCAAAAAGACCGGAGGAGGGGATCTGAGGAGGGGATCTGAGGAGGGATCTGAGGAGGGGATGTGGGGAGGGGATCTGGGGAGGGGATCCGGGGAGGGGATCCGGGGAGGGATCCGGGGAGGGGATCCGGGGAGGGGATCCGGGGAGGGGATCCGGGGAGGGGATCCGGGGAGGGGATCCGGGGAGGGGATCTGGGGAGGGATCTGGGGAGGGGATCTGGGGAGGGATCTGGATCTGAGGAGGGATCTGAGGAGGGGATCTGAGGAGGGATCTGAGGAGGGGGGATCCGGGGAGGGGATCCGGGGAGGGGATCCGGGGAGGGGATCCGGGGAGGGGGAGGGATCCGGGGAGGGGATCCGGGGAGGGATCCGGGGAGGGATCTGGGGAGGGATCTGGGGAGGGATCCGGGGAGGGGATCCGAGGAGGGGATCTGAGGAGGGGATCTGAGGAGGGATCTGAGGAGGGCTCCTCACAGTTCCTGAAACGTTCTCTCACCTGGCTGATATCCAGATGCTCCTCCAGGTCGTAGGAGTCATTGAGCTGCAGGACTGTCCAGAGCGCTGCCCCTTCCTTGCACTGCCTGAGGAGGAGTGAGGGGTGCAGCCGATGAGCCTTGGGGGTGGCGGGAGGGCCGGTCCCCTGAGGGACACCGGTCTCCTTCCTTCCCCAGTCTCCAGCTCTGCCAGGCTGTCCGCTCACCGATAAGCTTGGTGGATGCTGATGTTCTTCCTCAGGCCAAGAAGGTGCGACAGGTTCATGGACGGGGGCAGGTTCCCTGGGGTGTCTGCAAACTGGGGATGGGGCAGTGAGAAATGGGCACAGAGCGGGGTGGGGGCAAGGCCAGCCGGGTCCTCTAGGGCCTGGCGCTGTGCCGCCGTGGCACAGCAGAGACGAGGGGCAGGAAACATCCCCTCAGCCCAGCTCACACCTGGCCTCTAACTCTGGACCCTCAATCCTTACAGGGGCTCTTCCCACGAATCCCTAGGAGGGGAGGCCGGCCCGATCTTCTGCAGAGAACCCAGTCCAGCATTGCAGCTCACCGGGCACCAGGGCGCCGGCTCCCAGACAGTGTTAGGAGATGAGAGGGCATGGGTCAGGGTGCCATCTCTCAGGTCCCTGCCCTGGGGCCTGGGCAGCATCTCAGGGACTCTCCCTCCACCGTCCACTGGCAGGTTTCTGTCTCTTTCCTTGGCCATGTCTGTCTCACTTCTCCCCTCCCTCTCTCCCTCTTACCCCCGACCACCACTTTCCCCCAACCCTCCTGTCTGCCCATACTGCCCCCCACCTCCCTCCCCAGGAGGGCCTGTGAGCAGAGACGGGCCTACCTCAAAGAGCTCGCCGCTCTCCCAGCTCTGGCACACCAGCGTCTGCACGTTGCCGCCCACCAGGAAGGTGGCAAACACCAGGAGGATGAGGGGGGCAGCAAAGAGGAAGCTGAGGCCCACGCCTCTGTGGAAGGCGAGAGGCAGGACTGAGGGACAGCAGGGACTGGCCGCCCTGACCATACCCTCTGTCCCACCCGCACCCCAGCCAGTTGGCCCCAGGACAGAGCCTTCAGAGGAGACGAGCTTGGAGGACTTGGCCTCCTGGGGAGGAGGGAGAACCCAGAATTCCTGACTGTCCCGGTCTCACCTTCACCCCATCCCCACCCTGTCCCTGGTGCCTGGGCTGGCCCTGGCAGCCTAGAGGAGAGAACAGCTGTTTTGTTCAAAGAGCCAGGACTAGCTGGGCTCACATCTATAATCCCAGCACTTTGGGAAGTTGAGGTGGGAGGATAGCTTGAGTCCAGGAGTATGAGACCAGCCTGGGCAATAGAGTGAGACTTTGTCTCTACAAAATTTTAAAAATTAGCTGGGCGTGGTGGCACACGCCTGTAGTCCCAACTACTCGGGAGGCTGAGGCATGAGAATCACTTGAGCCTGGGAGGTTGAGGCTATAGTGAGCCATGATGGTGTCACTGAACTCCGTCCTGGGTGACAGAGCAAGACCCTGTCACAACAACAACAACAAACAAAACAAAACAAAACAAAACAAAACCTAAAGAGCCAAGACTGCTGACTTCTGTGCCTGGGGCCCGTGGAGGTGATCTGCTCCAGGACCCAGCACTCAAAAGGGTCTCCTGGCACGGCCAGGCATGACCTGCTGACAGGGAAGAATCCCAGCAGGCCTGAGGAGAAAAGATCTTAGACCAGGAGGCTCGAAGGGCTTATGAGGTAGGCACAGCCCTACGTCAGGCTGTGAGGCTTGGAAAGTAAAACGTGGGGTGGATTTCAGCCCCCACTTACCTCTTTAGCCAGGCACTCTTGTTCAATGAACAGCCTGTACAACTGTATGTGGCAGCCTTGGCCTTAGAGACCATCTAGTCTGGGGCTGGCAAACAGATTCCACCTCTGGTGCTGTTGCCTATTGGTGGTGGGGGCCGCCTGGAAGCTGGGGTGAGGACTCTAGGCTGTGTCTGACTCAGGGGAAGGAGTGCCCATTAGATGCTACGGCAGTTGCCCCTGCTGTAGGAGGCAAGAGCTCCTGGTTGGCCATTCCTGCTCTGGTTCAACCCCTTTATTCAGATGATGACACTGGCAGCCACGGGAGCTGTGCTCAGGAGCGAGAGTAATCGGCCAGCCCTGTAAGGGGGGACCCTTCCCGTCTCCCAGCCCTCTCTTACGCCATGAGGAAGTGGGCTCCAGCTTCGCCCTTGGCTTCTGGCTGGCTGGGGTCCTCCCTGGCAGATAGGCCCCAGATGCCCAGATTGAGGCCCAGCAGGTTGCAGAGTGCCACGAGCAGGACCACGGAGCACAGCACGCAGCCCACGATCCACCTGCCACAGAGAGGACACAGGTGTCACTAAAAAGGGAGGCGGCTGGCACCAAGACGGACAGGTGTGGGACCTGGTGGCTGGGTGTGGCCGCTAACCCCAAGGCCGGGGCTTCAGAAACGCAGATACAGACCCTTCCTGAGGCCCTACTGCTCTTGTGTCGTCTCCAGGCTCAGGTTCCGAGGGCACACAGCCTCATAGGGACTTGGAAGCCTGTGGAGTCAGGGGTCTTGGCTTAAAAATATGCAGAGGCAGCCGGGCGCGGTGGCTCACGCCTGTAATCCCAGCACTTTGGGAGGCCGAGGCGGGCGGATCACGAGGTCAAGAGATAGAGACCATCCTGGCCAACATGGTGAAACCCTGTCTCTACTAAAAATGCAAACATTAGCTGGGCGTGGTGGCGGGTGCCTGTAGTGCCAGCTACTTGGGAGACTGAGGCAGGAGAATCGCTCGAACCCGGGAGGCGGAGGTTGCAGTGAGCCGAGATTGCACCACTGCACTCCAGCCTGGTGACAGAGCGAGACTCCGTCTCAAACAAACAAACAAACACAGAGGCTCAGTATAGTCAGGGGCTGATAGGGGCTGGGAATGGGGCTCAGGATGTCAGGGTGGCATAGAGGTTGGGCTGCCCGCCCCACCCCACCCTGCGGGTGCCCAGCACCTGTAGGTCTCGTATCTCTGCACCTCCTGCAGGTAGGGGCGGCTGCTCTCCTCCACCTCCTGCAGTGCCTGGGCCCAGCGGGAAGCTGCCTCCGAGCCTGGGAACCCTTCAGCCAGTGTCCTCAACCCTTCCGGCTGCTGGGCCACTGCCTTCTTCAGCTCTGCCCAAAGTAGCGGGGACTTGTGGGATGCGGAGGGCACCCTGGGGCCCAGGAACAAGACAAGCGGGCAGGAAGAACATCTGGGAACCACAGAGGGAGGACAGTCCCCCGCCACCCCAGTCCTCTCTCAACAAGCCTCTCTGGTAGGGGTGGGGCAGGAAGCTGTGCCTGGCAGCTGCCTCTGACCCTTGCGGCCTAACCTTGCACCACGCTGGACATCTGCATGGCAGCCACGGTTGGAAGGGCGTTGAAGGTGCTGTTCTCCTGCAGGAACCAAGTAGGGATGGGCCTCCCCATCTCTTCCCAGTGTTCCCTCTTGGGAGACCCCAAAGTCACCAGGCCTAGAGGGAGGGCCCCCCTCAGTGCTCCCAGCTTCCCTCTTTTCTCTTGGTCACTGCCCTCCTCTCCCCTCCCTTGGCCCAGCCTGACTCAACTTCTAAAAGGTTGCTCCTCCCGGACCTTTTCTTCCTACCCCCATCCCTCTCCCACCACGGCAGTGAACTCTCAGCTGTCCTCCACACAACTGCCAGGTCTAGCTCCTGAAGATACAGCCCCAGTCCACCCTTCCAGCTTTGGCTCTGACTTCCTTCCTTCTGGAACCTTCCACTCCAGCCACCCAGCACAGCTGACTCACCATTTCCCCAGCTCCAGGTCCTGGGTCCTGGGCGCTGACTCACAACACCGAGTCCTCCCCCTTGGCCCATCTCCACCTGAGGGAGCCGCCTGCCCCCTGGGCTCTTGCCACCCCAGACGCCTGCTGCCTTAAAGGTCCCAGCTCTCCCTTCCGAGCACAGACTGTGTGCACACCAAGGGTGGTCGTCGGGAGCCCCCTGCCCAGGGTGCTGTGTGGTGAGTGGGGCCCCAAGTCTTAGGTTCAACTGGGTTCCTGCCCAAAAGGGGGAAACGGAGGCCCTCACTTGGCAGGTGAGGGAGGAATCAGGCAGACCGGGTGGCTCTCACCTCCTGGACCATGCTGGAGAAGTTGGCCTCGGGGACTCCCTTCAGCTGGTGCAGGACATGGTCCACAGAGGGCACCTGAAACGGGGGAAGGTGGGTTATTACAAAGTTCAAGGAGAAGCCTGAAGGGGATCCCTGAGGGCGGACGCAGGGGGCAGGTGCCTCTGAACGCCAATGTCCTCAAGTGTAAAATGGGGACCGTCATGGCTCCCACTGCCCCTGGCCGCAGCCAGAACTCAAGGAGCTCACACACGTGAAGCTCACGCAGAGGGCGCGGCCCGGGGAGCACCCCACCCACAGCCAGGATGACCGGCATTAACCCCGGGTGGGTGGGGCAAGGGAGGAACATGGGGGAAGGGGACTGGGAATTTGCCGGATCCCAGGAGCAGCAGGTGGCCGGCCCTCCGTGACTTTAAGAGGACTCTGTCCTGGGTCTGCACCTGGCTGAAGTCAGCACCCAGCTCCAGGGCGCGGGCCCGGCTCAGGGCCCCTGCACAGTCTCCCTGGCACCCGGCCTCCTGCAGCAGCTGGAGGAGGCGGTCCCGTTGTTGCTGGAGGGCTGACTCCAGGTCCTGCTGCCCGGCCTGCAGCTCCACCACTGTAGCGTTCAGGGCCTGCAGGTGGTGCATGGAGACCTGCAGGGCTGAGAGACCCACACCCAGCCTGAATGGTGGCCCCCATAGGCATCCCAGAACTCCCCTCCCCCAGCCAAAGGGACCTGCAAATCATTGACCTCCTGCCTACAGTGGAAACTGCCCCTGGGTACGTCAAGCCAGGGGAGGAGGGCTGGACCCTGGGGTACAGCGATGGGGAAGTATAGGTGGGGCAGAGGCGGCTCAGGAAATCCAGGGCTGGGGGCAGGTGGGACCGTTCCCAGGAGGACACCCGCTGGGCTCCACATTATCCAGGGGCGGCTTCAGCTCACCCTGGCCTAAACTGCCCACGGCCGCCAGCAAGGGGTACACGGCGCTCCTGAGCTGGGTGTGGACCGCGCTCCCAATGCTCACACCGACACCTGCAGGGCACACGGCAGTCTGCAGGGTGAGGCCCCAAGGATGGAGGGGCCTCCCCATTCCCATCCTAAGCTGGCGGGTGGAGGGGAGTGGAGGAGGGGCAACACGGCTTCTTCCTCCAGCAGCTGAGTGGTGGCCACTCTTGCTCTCCAGCCGGCCTGATCCCCACCTCTACCAGCCTGTTCCCAGGTGGGGTCCAGAATGAGGGAGTGAGAGGCCCCCACCGAGGCACCCGAGCAGGGGCCCTGCAGCCGGCCCACCTGCCAGCCCCCGAGACCCTCACCATCCAGCTCCTCCGAGACGCGCTCCTGGGGCAGGGAGAACTGCTGTGCCACGGCCTGCAGCTCCTAGGCAAACACAAGGCCCTGAGGCTGCCCTTCCTGGTCACCCGCAGTCCTGACCCCCATCTGTCCCTGGCCCCTTCCCTGCCCCTATGGCATCCGTCCTGAGGGTGGCGGACTCTCAGGCAAGGCGGGACAGGAGGCGGCTTTCAGATGCGCTGGTGATGGGCCAGCGAGAGCCCACTCGGCTCTGTCCTGCCCGGGCCCGGTGCTCACAGGGGCACATGCGGGTGAGGGGCAACAGTGCTCACCTGGGGGACATCAGAGACCAGGCCCCGGAGGCTGAGCAGGGTCTCAGGCACGGCCTCCACGCTGGGGCCCATCTGTTCATGCGTGCGCTGGTTGGTGACTAAGGCACAGACCACACCAATCCTGTGGGAACGGAGGGAGGAGGGAGGCGCTTGCGGGGTAAGAGGGAGCCTGGGGCCACAGCCCGCCCCGCCTGGGCTCTGGGCAGTGCCTTACAGCAGCAAGAGGGTGGTCAGCAGCAGGACGACCATGAGGGACGCACACTCAAAGGCCAGCGCCTTGTGCTCTGTCTTCACTCGCCCCCCGCAGCGCCGGCGGCAGCGGCACCAGCAGAAGCAAAGCCCGGCAGTGGGCATCAGCAGCAGGTAGAGGCCCGCGACCACGGCGCACACCACGTAGCCCGCCTCGTACCGCACCACCTGGGCAGGCGGCAGGGCATGAGGGGCGACCCGACCCCCACTGCCCAGCCCTGGCTTCTGCCGGAGTCCAGAGGGAAACCAGAAGGGGCGGGAGTGCTGTCGGGGGCATGGCCTGCATCTCATGCAACGCGTCCCAGAGGCGACCGCATTCTTACTGCTCATCACCATCTTACACGGGAGGAAGCTGAAGTTCAGGAAGTTCCAGCTCCCTGCAAACCTCATTGCCAGTAAATGGCAGAGCTGTGGTTTGCATCCAGGTCTGTGGACAGCAGGGCCCACAGAGGAGGGGCGAGGATGCCCGAGCCCCCGCCTGGTGGACTGAGCGGACTGGGGGCTTTTCCGCTCCCATCCTGCTGCTCACCCCGGAACTCCCTCCCCCAGCACCTTTCCCCAGCTTGCTCACCTCATTCACCTTCACGGAGGCCAGCTCACTCAGCAGGGCCTTTACCAACTCTACCGGAAAGAGCCAAGCTGAGGATTTGGGGGCAGCCACCGCCCTGCCCCGTGTCCGTCCTCTCCCCACTGCCAGGGCAAAGTGCCTCTGAGGCAGGGCTCCTGCCACCACCATGGCACCCTCGCAGGAGGCTGCATCACCGCAGCCCTGCGCCATCCTGCCCTGACCTCAGCACTGCTACAGGAGGGTGAGAGAGGAGAGGCTGCAGACCTCTCCTCCTGCACCCTACAGGTCAGTCCTGAGCCTGGGCAAAGGCGGAGAAGGGGCCTGGCCTGGCAGTTCTTCCTCTCAAGCAGCAAGGGACAAAACTGGGAGGGTCCTTCAGCCACTCCTGGACCACCCAACCCAAGCACCACTAGACTCAGAGGATGTCTGAGTCAGGTCTAATGTATTTCTAATGCGACCTCCTCACTTTACAGACAGAGCACCTGAGGCTCAGAGAGGAAACGAGGGCTACCCACAGTCACACAGCAGGTTCTGGAGCCCGCCCCGGATCCTCCGCCTTCTACCCCAGGAAGATGGCCAGTGCCTGCTGGTAGGTTGGGCACATCTCATGGTAGAGGGGGACAGAGGAAGCCTGGCTGGGGACCCAAATGCTGAGGCCCTCGCTGGGGAGGTGCACACTCACCTGAAGGGAAAGGATTCAGCTGCACCACGGAGAGGAAGCGGTGCACGGTGCCGTAGAGGGAGTCCAGGAGTCCTGGCGCACGAACTCGAGGGGCCAGCCACCGGGCCCTGGCCGCTGGGGTGAATGTCAGGGGCTCTGCCGGGCCAAGGGACTTGCAGTCTGTGGCCCCCGCTGCCAGCTGACTCAGGGACAGCCCCAGGCCCAGGCCCAGCAGGGGAGCCAGCAGCGCCAGTGCGTGCCTCATGGGGTCAGGAAGGTAAGGGGCTCAGGCTCAGGCTCAGGAGGGAACAGGCAAGCCCAGGGCAGGCCGTGCATCCTTCTCCAGCCTCTGTCCCTCTCTCCACAGCTCTCAAAACCTGCCCAACAGGTTTGGGTTCCTGAGCTACCTGGCCTCCCGCCTCCCTACCTGCCTTGGAGCATAGGAAGGGCAGGGGTGGAGGCACAGGGTAGGGGCAGGGCCAGGCTGGGACCGCCCACCACCCAGATCCTTGCAGGCAACGGCTGCCTCGAGCTGGGTCCAAAAGGTACCTCAGCAGCTTGGGACTGCCTAGAGTGGCCCCATTTCAAATATTCTGTTCCATGCCCAGCTCCAGCAGCCCAGTCTGGGAGCTGGGAAAACAGCTGCTTGGTGAAGCCCTGGCCAAAATGGTCATAAGACCAGGCACACAGGGCCAGGACCCAGGCTCGCTCTCCCTGCTTCATCTGGAACCTGCGCTGTCCCTACAGGTCATGCCCGGTGCCCACTGCCGGGCCGATCTGGAACACAGGCCCACCCTGACGGGCACAGGCCTTTGGGAGGGCAAATCCGAGGTGTGCCCTTTGGCCTGGCGTACCTCATCCAGTCAGCAGTTGAAAGAACTGATAGGATATGACCAGAAATGTGTTGGCACAGATCACTGTTTTGTGAACAGCTGTATGCCCAATGCCCAGAAAGTCGCCTGCAGCTGAGCAGGCCATGGGGAAAATTCACTGAAGGGCTGGAGGGAATCAGAAACAGTCCTGAAAGCCACCACTGAGGAACGGGCAAAACGAGCCTCTTATATCACACACTGGGCAGTTGCTAAGGAACGTGCTGTGGAAATGTCTCTTGTGACTGAAAAACACTCACATGCACTCATAAGTGCAAATAGCAGATTACAGACCAGCACACGCAGTAAAGGTGTAAAACGGTGATCATTTCCACACATAGAAGATTACAGACCAGACGGGAGGCTGAGATGGGCGGATCACGAGGTCAGGAGATGGAGACCATTCTGGCTAACACCGTGAAACCCCGTCTCTACTAAAAATACAAAAAAAAAAAAAAAAAAAAAATAGCCAGGCGAGGTGGCGGGCGCCTGTAGTCCCAGCTACTGAGGAGGCTGAGGCAGGAGAATGGCATGAACCCAGGAGGTGGAGCTTGCAGTGAGCCAAGATTGTGCCACTGCAGTCCAGCCTGGGTGACAAAGCGCGACCCGGTCTCTAAAAAAAAATAAAAGAAGATTACAGACCAGTACACGCAGTGAAGGTGAAAAACGGCGGTCATTTTTCAGTGGGGTTGCCGGCAATTTTTCATTCTCTTTTGCTCACGTGTACTTCCTCATTGCTGTGCACGAAACGTGTGTTACTTGTATTTACATAAGTAATCGAAGTTTGTGAGTTTCCATGGCAGCTCCTTGCCCCTGACTGGGAGCCTTGGAGAGAAGGGCTGGCTCCGTGGCTCCCAGGACCCCTAAGCTCAGCCCAGGGCAATAGTTCAGGATGGTCTGCAGGGTGGGTGAGTGGCTCAGGGATGTCTGGCTGTCCCTGGTAGGGTTATCAGGCAATTAGGGCCTTACCTGTGAATCAGGGCTGAGCCCGCAGGAGAGCTCTTACACCCCTCATTGCTGCCTCTGTGGCTTTCTCAGAGCCAGGGGACGAGAGAACACAGTGGTAGAAGGCATAGTCCAGTTAACAGTGGGGAGACACAGGAAGTGGGGCCTCATCAAAGGGTGATTCAGAGGTGAGGATCAGGGATACAGTGAAGAATAGTCTAGGGGTGTCCTGGCACCCTAGGTCTGGTGGGAGCAGGCTGTGGACCCCAGGGAGGGTCCAGGGCCAGCTCCTCCTGTGGGGCTCCGACCCCAGCATGTGCAGAGAGGCCCCTGGCCACACTGCCTATGACCGTGTTGTGAAGCTCAGTGCAGGCTGTGCCCACCTAGGCCCGCCCACAGCCCTTCCTCCCGACTCACCTGAGCCCAGTATCTATGTTGGGGGTTCCTGGTTCCCCAGAGGCTGCATTGAGGAAGGGCTGGTCTCTCCAGGGCCTCACCGCTTCTCCCTTCTCCTTCTCCCTCCAATTTAGGCTGTTAAAAAGAACGCTTTCCCCTGGGATGGTTTTCTACCCCCCCATCAGCAGCAAGATGCACACAGCCCTCACCTGAGTACCTGCCTCTTAGGCGTTTCTGTATCTTCTGACTCCAGTGCACCAGCGGTGGGGGATTCAGGTCCCAGCTTCCCGGTTAGTGCTAAAAGCCCTCGGGGACTTGGGAAATAAGCGCTTTGGCTCCAGGTGCTCCACTCCCACCCTCTCTCTCTTCTCCATTATTGTCCTAATTAAGCCAATCATTGGCTACTGCTATTGTTTTTATTTGTGTGTATGGTAAAAACACTGTGGTTTGAAGATAAGATGTCCCCTGGGATAAACAAAAACATACCAAGCCTCTTCCTCAGCCCAGGGCCGGATGAAGATGCTGAATCTGCCTGTTGAAGGGACGGAGAAATAGATGCATGGAAGAAAGGACTATTCTGAGTTAGCAGCCAAGTCAGGAGCGGACACGACAGCTCCCCTTCCCCAGCGGGATCCTGATAAACAATTTATCATCAGACCCGCTGGTCAGCCCCTGCCTCCTCCCACCCCCAGCCCTGCATGGGAGAGCAGGTGGGGTTCAGGATCCAGCCTTGGAGCTGGGCAGAGGAGGCGAGGAAGCCACTGCTCTCCCTGAATTCCCTGGAAAAGCCCAGCACGCAGGCGGGTGGGGACTGTTCACAAGCATGGGTGCCCCTGCGGTGGCCACTAAGGGCCTTGGGCGGTGGGCAGGCCACCCAGCTGGAGGGCTTCTGGAAGTGGGGACGGGAGGCCAAGGTGGTCCTGGACCCTCCTTTTCCTCCCATCTTTCTGGGCATACCTGCACTTTCTCTGCTCCTGCTGACCCCCCGCACCCTCTGACCTCCATGGGGAATTCTTTGGTTGACCAGGAGAAGCTGCTCCCGGTTGCCCTGGAAACACCTCCTGGGGCCACGTGCTCACCCTGACTCACCATCTCCAGAAGATCGATGTTCCCCAAACCCCACAGCCCCAAGGTGGGGAAGAGGTGGGCAGAGGCAGAGACCTCAGCAAGGGGAGGAACTCTGCCCTCCAGAAAGCCCCTGGGCCCCTCTGGCTGCCTCACGCGGCCATGCTGGGAACAGGCCGGCAAGATGCTCAGACACTCTCAGGGAAACCTCAGGCAAGAAGTCAGGCCCCTCTTCTTTCTTGCCTCTGCTATCCATGCCATACGCTGGGAATGAGTGTTAAACCAATTCAAGGGGACAGAGACCCACTTACCAGACCATCAGGGCTACGGCACGGCCACGGCCACCGTCTTAGTCACCATTTTTGATGGCAAGAATGAAAACCCACTTAGGTCAGCGGAAGGATTTGAAACGTGAGCATTTATTATAGAGACACAAGCGCACTTTTGGAGTCCAAGGGCCCTCAGGAGGGCTCAGAGCCTGAAACGGGAAATCCATCGAGGGCCCCATGTCTGTCTCAGACCCTCTCTCTGGGGTGGCGTCGGCCTCCTCTGCCAAACGGACTCTTCTCGTCCAACGTGGCAGGGAGGGCTGCCCTGCCGATCTGAGTCTGCCTGTTCTCCCAGCTGGTCTGCTATGAGTCCCGCCAGCACCAACAGGCCACACTCTCCATCCTAGCGGGAGGAAACTGGTGGTCCCCACTGGAGGCGGGGTCTCCCAGTCCACCAGGGCCCTCTGGCTGTGACATCCTTACAAGGAGCAAGCGCAGCGGTTGGGCCCAAGCTTGTGGCACGTGGCGGCCCTGGGGGAACAGGCCTCTGCGATGCCTTTCTGGGAATATTTTGGAGCGTTTTGACCACCACGCTCCCAGAATGTGGGTCCCTGCCTGACTTCTCGTCCCTCGGTCTGGCATGCAGCCCACATCTAGCCTTCCAGCACCCCTCCTGAGTATTGCTTCAGAACGGACCATCGTGAATGTACATGGACCCCGGGCTCCCCTGCTTCAAACCTCCTAACGGCTCCTACACTGGACTCCTTAATTTGTCTCCAGGGCCTCCACCATTGGAGCCCTTCTCAGTTCCCCTGGCTAGTTCCTGCCATCCTTGGCCCACCTTACCACACTCCCTCCATCCTGGCCCTGCTCACGATTCCCCTTCTTCATCCCCAGCCTCCACGTTCACCCAATTTCTGCTCATCCTTTAAGCTTGGTTCAGTGGTCACCTTCTCTAGGACCCCCAGGCTGAGTGAGGGGTCCTTTCAAGGCATCCCTTAATGTGACACCTGCCCCCATATTCCCCGTTTCCTTGTCTGTCTCCCCCACGTAGACAGGATTGAGTTTTACTCACCGTCACATCCTCTTCAGCCCTAGACACAGAACCCAGCATATTTTCCAGTCTCGAAACTTTGGAAAAGCACATCATTTGAATACATTTAAAGATAAGATTTGTTCCCCATAAGGGTCATCAAAATTAACAAACCAAAACCCCTGGCCGGACGCAGTGGCTCACGCCTGTAGTCCCAGCACTTTGGGAGGCCAAGGTGGGCGGATCACTTGAGGCCAGGAGTTCCAGCCCAGCCTGACCAACATAGTGAAACCCCGTCTCTACTAAAAATACAAACATTAGCTGGGTTGGTGGCGGGCGCCTGTAATCCCAGCACTGTGCGGGCTGGGGTGGGTGGATCGCTTGATCCCAGGAGTTCAAGACCAGCTTGGCCAACATGGTGAAACCTTGTCTCTATCAAAAATACAAAAAACAAAAAAATTAGCCCGTCTCATACCTTGTTTATAAATAAATAAATAAATAAATAAATAAACAGATGTTTTAAAAAGAAGAAGAATGAATGGGTGAGTCCCTAAACTAAAACTCTGTGCCACTGTGGTGAGTGAGCCTGGCAGGGAAGGGTGAGGTGGCTGGGGTGGGAAAGGGAGGAGACTCTTCAGTGAGCCCTGGGACCTTCTTCATGAGCCTCTCCAAGCAGTATGGACGGGAGGCAACCCATACAGAGGCTGCCCCAGTGTGGGCGTGTGTGAGGGTTTCAGCAGAGTGTCGAGAGTCCCCACGACGCCGACAGCGGGCCGGTAAGGTTTCACCACAGCTTCCTGGCAGGGACTAGAAGGCCACGGGACATCAGGGCCTCAGGGAGCTTTGATAGAAGTGGTCAGAGTCGGGAGGGCAGGGGCCCTGCAGGCAGGGGTGGCTGTGCTCTGGTTCCCTGTGGCAGCGTGAGCTTCTAGAAAAAGCAGGCCACAATCAAACAGATCCTCCAGAAACAGCTGCTGTAGGAAGGCTTCGGGTCCACTAAAAACTTCAGTCCTTGTAGCCCAGGCCCACGGGATAGGCTCTGCCTCCTCTCAATGGCCGGGTGAGTCCCCTTGATGAGTCCCCTCTGCTCCCTCTCCATGGTCTGTGGCCAGGTGAGTGCCCTTCCCCCCTCTCCATGGCCAGGTGAGTCCCCTCTGCCCCCTCTCCATGGCCAGGTGAGTCCCCTCTGCCCCCTCTCCATGGTCCGTGCTCTTTCCCCCCCTCCACGGTCGGGTGAGTCCCCTCTGCCCCCCTCCATGGTTCACAGCCAGGTGAGTGCTCTTCCCCCCTCTCCATGGCCAGGTGAGTCCCCTCTGCCCCCTCTCCATGGTCCGTGCTCTTTCCCCCTCTCCACGGTCGGGTGAGTCCCCTCTGCCCCCCTCCATGGTCCATGGCCAGGTGAGTGCCCTTCCCCCCTCTCCATGGTCCGTGGCCAGGTGAGTGCTCTTTCCCCCTCTCCACGGTCGGGTGAGTCCCCTCTGCCCCCCTCCATGGTTCACAGCCAGGTGAGTGCTCTTCCCCCCTCTCCATGGCCAGGCGAGTCCCCTCTGCCCCCTCTCCATGGTCCGTGGCCAGGTGAGTGCTCTTCCCCCCCTCCATGGTCGGGTGAGTCCCCTCTGCCCCCCTCCATGGCCTCTGTGTCAAATGGGAGAGCAGCGTCTTCCAGCCTGACCCAGATCTCCTCACTGGCCAGAGCCTCCTTGGCTGCCCTCTCTCTCCCAGGTCA